CCCGTTTGGTTTTTATTTCCTCTTCTTGTTTTTTATTTTAGAAATTTCTTTTGTTTTTTTTTCTATTTTATTTTCCCACGAATGTTGTACCTTTTTTCTTTATTTCAAAACATTTGTTAATATTTCTAGATATTTTCTATTCCGCTTATCGCAAAACTTTTCCCGTCCGTCACTTGTATTGGATTATACGCTTTGATTTCGTTTAATGCTATAAAATGCTAAGTTCAGCCAATAAATGAATAAATGTAATAGGGATACCTCGGTCGACTTTAGACAAGATGGCGCTAGCGATTTATCGATATTGTTCGATAAATCGATTGTTCTCATATAATTTAAACTTTCGAGAATATTGAAAGGCATAATATTTTCTATGAATTTCTGAATTTATTTTTAATAAAATTGCTTGCGGCGAAGGAGAAATAATACAAATTTTCTTCGATTATAGTCAATTATTGCAATGGCAATAGTTCTGTCTGTTGTTTTGTTAGTTTTTTGTTCAATAAAATGATAACCAATTGCAAAACTTGTAGATTCTTGCAGGTACTGAAACTCAAACCGATATGTCATTGTTCATTCTTTCAAATGTGATTTTAATAAATGAGCGGTTAAGATAAAGGAAAGTTCCCTTTTCTATAAAAGTTATCGGGAAGATTCCCTAAATAAGCAAAAAGAATTCTATCGAAAAGGCAAATCAGCCAGTGACATTCAGTATTTTATTTTTTATATTGTCGCCTAATCGTCTAATGTCTTTTGTGCTCTGTTTCAGAACCTAGAAGAATGTACAAATGTTGCTACGATAACTGGTTTTTCCTATATGATATCGAAAAGTTACAAAACTTGTAGTTCATAAGCTAACTTTACATTGATAAACTATTTGATGTTACTTGTACCCACGGCACAAGAACAAACTTAAGCTAACTTGGGGTTTAATGAAAGGAATACAACTCTTTAAAAGTGTCTTCTTCGAAGTAACATACGTACAAAGCTTGCATACATACGTGGCTTTATTTATTTGATATTTTTTGCGAAATCATGGTTTTTTTTTGGCTTTACCCCTTTCTTAAACATTGGTCAGTTCCACAACTGCAAGAATATAAACCTTTTCACCACGAAAGCCGATTTTATTTTTATCTTATCGAAAAATATTTTAAAACTAGTATATTCTTGCAGGTTTTGGAAAATTTAATATATTTTTCCTTTATCTGCATCTATCTCAAATTCCACTGAAATCTTTTCAGTGAGGAGAGCTAAATCCTACAATAGGTGATAATAATGCTCCAATTATTCCGATAAATAATATCTAAGGTGGCGACCAACGTTTTATTGAACTCATAGATAAGCATAACAATTTTCGAATTTGAAATAACAAGTTATATAATTTTAATTATATCATTTAATATCCATTTACGTTAAATTCAATACTTTTTCCGAAACCTTTGCACATCTAACAGCCAACCGTCAACACCATCATAAGAATTAAAACAAAATTCAAAAAACTTACGTTAAAATTGTTAACTTTTCAAAATATTTGATAAACACTAATCTATGCACTCCGATAAAGATGTTTTTATTTCCAATGTTGAAATGTTACTGAAATCTATCAAAAAATCGTCCTATATTTACTTGCGGGGCGAAGAATTTGTGTGTTAATTTTGGAAATTCCAGGTCACAGCGGTTAAGTCAAAGATAAATACACAACACATCATCCTTGTTGAAAGAGATGGCAAGAAAGAGAGCGCAAAACAATTATCTTGGAAAAAAGGATCGTTGTTTTACTACCTGCAATTTATCTAAATGCTCTCTTCTTAAGATAATCAAATGTTGGTCGAGTGATTTATTGGCCCTGAATGGAGGACGACAAATGCTCTCATAATATGCATATTCATATGTGTTATTTCCGATTGTCTATCGCTCCAGCTGTTATTGTTATGCGTGTGTAGCGCCGCCGTGAACAGGAAATTTGACTGAATTCTGTTGATATTTTCATTTAGAATTCGGATTTTTGCCGAGGAAATTGTCGGGTAATTTCTGATGTTCAATGTACAAGAGTGAGTAAACCGCTGCTCCCACCAGTGAGTGTTTGGCGAAATGGACCGGCGACGACGTCGCGCGCTTATCAGCTTGCCGTAATGTGTTTGAAAACCATAATGATTCTTATGGGTATTTTTCTTAGTAATAGGGAATTTTGCCTTTAAAAAAAGTCACTCACATCATGGGAAAAGTAAATAAAGAATTGATTTTCCAATTGTCACCAAATGATGTGAATGTGCTGGGGCTTTTTTTGAGAATGGTTTTTAAAATGCTTCTAGTGGACGTATTGATAAACGTATTTTAATGTTTGCGTGTACGTACATACATATGTATGTTTTAAATTGATTAATTTTAAAATTAATTAATCATAATAACCTGATAAAAATAAATGAAAATTTAACTTAATAATTAATTTAACTTAAAAAATAATTTAATAATTTGACTTAAAAAATATATATTAATTGTAAATCGCTAAAAAACAGTTAGCACGTTTCCGTACCCAATACTAACAAAACTGGAAGACAATTATGAGAAAAACTGGTCTGTTCCAGACATAAAATAATGTAAAAGTTTTTACGATTTTCCCTTTATGATATCGAAAACAAGTAAAAAAGCAGCTTAGTTAGTTGAATAATGTTGCTGAAATCATCAAAATACCAATTACGAACTTTAAAAATGAAATTTAAAATAATTCCGATAAATAATGTCACTAAAATCATGAAAAAACTAATATCGGGAGGTACCGGAAATAAGTCAATTTGCTCCTTCATGTCTCCACAGTTCCATGTAAGACCAATGGTTTATAACTTTGAGTATTTTTATTTAATTATTTAAAGCACTTCATGACAAAAACTAATACAATTTTTAAGATTATTTAAAGGACTTCTTGCCCAAAAATGATCAAACTTTTAAAAATATTTAATATTTAAAGATATCCCAGCCAAAACTAGATTTTGTAAAAAAATATTTCGGATCTTCCTGTTCAGAAATCATGTAGTTAATAGAAATTTCGTCAACGACTGAATGGGAAAACATTTCGGTTCTGTACATACAAATTGGGTATTTTTAAGTATATTAACTTCCTTTCTATACCCTTCTCCATGTGGGAGTTGCGAGAAATTGACTTACACCGTTGCATGGGGCTATTCCCAAACACTATTCGAGGCTCGTCTTAAATGCCAACCATCTGAGAAGCATTTATGTCAAATTTGATTAATTTATCGTAAAACCAGTGAAGAAAGTCACCCCTTTTCATATTTAGTAGAGCTTCATATAACAAATCGGATGAACAATATATATGGCAGCTATAAATATATGTTAACCGATTTTAAATCTGAAATAAATGTTCCTAGGCTCAATTTAGTCGTAAATACCAAATTCCATCCCATTTGGGCTAAAATTACACGTTTGGTGCACTATAAAAAGCAAATCGGACGAAGATATATATGGGGGCTATATCTAAATGTTGACTTCATCATTATCTTGAAAGGGTTCGTCCTCGGGTGAAACAAATGACTTGTGCAAAATTTCATCTGGATCGGGCAATAAATGGACAGACGGACGGACATACATGAATTGACTCAGAATGTGATACTATGCAGATCATCAAAAGGAACTCGTTTCCTTTTGAATGTTATAAACAAATGCAGAAAGACATAATACCCTGGACACCTTGTGGTGTAGGGTATAAAAATTAGCCTCCACTTTGCAACAGTCATACGAACGAATTTTATGCTGATGGCGTGAAAGAGTCTCAGACGAATATTCTTCTAGTGGAGGATATAAAAAAATATTTGTCGCATATGTTTAGTATATCCGTAGTTTGATGTCCGACTGAAAAATTAGCTATTTCTGCTAAACATTTTGATATTTTGTGTGGGACTTTCAATCATGCCCTATTTAAAAAGTTGTTGCAACCATGGCAAAATAACAGAAGGTAGAACAAATCTATCCTCTAAATACACATTTTGTGTAAAAAATATACTTTTTGCTAAAATAAAATTCTGATGGAGAACCTCAATTCTCGTTCTATAAAATTGTGATATATAAACTTCTATTAAGTAAACAAATAAGAAATTAAAAATCTATAAATAAAACAGCTAATGCTATTTCTAACAAAATAACTAATAACATATGGCAATATCAGCAAAGACTTCTACCTAATAGCGAAAGCGGAAAACGTTTTTATTGTAATGTGATTTTCAATAGATGGAGCTAGTCTCTGTTGCAACAATAAGGCAGGAAAAGGTTTTATACGTCATCCGTTTTCATGGTAGAAGAATACAGGTAGATGCATCAACGCATCAACATTTTTAAAAGTTTTTTTTTTTTCAGAAATAAGTAAACTTTTATATGTTTTCTCTTACGACGTCAATCGGAGGTTTTTATGATATGGAATGTTTAACAATTATAATCATATTTCATTCAAAAATTTTTTCAAAATTGGTTTGGCAGTTTATTGTCCCAGCAGCTGTGTTGATGCCACTACCTTTATTCTTTTACCATGTCCGTTAATACACACAAGTTGATCCAATTATAACCGGATTTATACCTCACTTATACTATTGAAGATTAGCCTACTGTTTTATTAGATCTGAAGCCGAGTCTTATAGTACGTTTACAGTTTGCAGAATTTATTATACCCAGTGGTGCAATTTCATTGCATATACCTCAAATAAAACCTCATAAAGAGATTAATCCGGTGATTATGTAACTATACAATTAATGTGTTAAATAGACTGCTACACATCTCACATTTTAAATTTAAATTTTCTTTGAAAAATTTTATAAAGGAAATATTTTTCATTTCATATTTTCGTAGAACAAGAATCCAGCCCCTGGATTGCAAATTTCAGAACAAAAAATTCGTTTTCGAAATATTGCCGCCGACAAATTGATTTACACCTGATTAGATTGACTTTTTCGATCATATAGATCCCTACGTTGTTTTTGCTTGTTTCTTTTTCAGCCTTATTCTTATTGGCGCCGCCGGCGGTAAAATCGTCCAACTCAGATGTCTGCATGTAGCACATTTGTAAAAATTGTTGGATTTTAAAAACACACGAGAAAATGTTAGGTTTATTAAATAAAGCGAAGTTCGCTATTGCTCCTGTCGTTCGAGGAATTACGTCCAACAGTGCCCTACGTACCGCCGCTGAAGAAGGCCCACAAGTTGTTGAAAAAACTGCGACACCACCTCCACCACCAGTATCAAGTGGGCCGGCTTTGTTGATACCGCAGACATTGAAGGAATTCTCACCATTGAATCTTAAGGATTGCCGCCAAGCATGGATAGAAAATGTCGATGCTGTCGAAGAACGTAAATTGGGTCTCATTGAATTGCACCCAGATGTGTTTGCAACACAGCCCCGAGTCGATGTAATACAGGAGAATATCGAATGGCAAAGAAAATACCGTTATGTAAGTTTTGCCAATACCAAGAATCGAGCTGAAGTACGTGGTGGTGGTCGCAAGCCCTGGCCACAAAAGGGTGGTGGTCGAGCTCGTCATGGCTCAATTAGATCCCCCTTGCTAAAAGGTGGTGGTATATCGCATGGTCCCAGATCTCCGACAACACATTTTTATATGCTTCCCTTCTTCAAAAGGGTTTTGGGTTTGACATCGACACTCAGTGTGAAATTGGCCCAGGATGATTTGCACATAATTAGTAATGTTGACATACCCAGTCAGGATCCAGAATTTATCAAAGATTTGATACAAGAAAGAAATTGGGGACCATCGGTTTTGATCGTTGACAAGTAAGAGATAATGAGGGCGATATGGTATTTGGTATTTAACATGATTTGTTTATTTACAGAGAAGCTGAGTTCCCCGAAAACATTTGTTATGCCACCGATTCCCTGGGCTATGTAAATTTAATGCCTGCATTTAGTTTAAATTGTTATTCAATGTTGAAACACGACACTCTAGTCTTAACTGTTGATGCAGTTAAACACATTGAAGAGCGTCTGTTGTACCAACTGCATCGTACAGATGGCGTGACCAAGGGCCAAAAATTCAAATTGGATCAAGTTTAAGTTTGTTGTTATAGTGCAAAATAAGAATTAAATAATAAAAATGTATGCAAGTATTCAAACTCAAAATGAAATCAAGTCCGCTGAAGTCAAGTTGCAAGTTACAAAGAATAAATGAGAGCATAGATGTAAGTTCAGCTTTATTTATTTTCATGGTAGATGTTGGATTTTACATTGCTTAGTATACAAGTTGTTAATTGTAGATTGAATTATATTGCAATATTTTTTGAAAGATTAAATGAAGGAAATTCCTGTATCGGTGTTAAGACACGAAAACGAATATTCAGTTTTAAATAATACTCTAAAGGACCTAAATCAGTTCTAATGATACATGAATTGTGCACGTCCGACAATCTATATAGATTTTTTAATTTTATTTCTCGACAACATAACAAAAATTAGCATTGAAATGTTAATATGTATTACCAAATGTAAAATTGCCTTCCGTTTCCCGCTTGGATGTTTGTGGAAATGTTTTTCTTTCGTATTTTTATTTTCGTGCTTTCCTCTAGCCCTAACTACAGCGTAGCCAAAAATTCAAGAAACAATGTCAATCAATTTTAGTTAACATTAAGAACAACTTTCATTTATTTAAATTGTCAAGTTCTCGGCAGTCCAACACGTTAATCGCTCCAATATTAATTTTTCTCACTTTTACGGGTTTTGAAGAAACATTCTTGGGCTAAATAGTATTCATTTCCCGGACCCTCGATCCTATGACTTGTATGACTTGCCTGGACTAACTTTTACCAACAAATCAGTTCAAACCCCTATATCATCGTATAATTATAAATTGATATATCAGTGTTGACTGTTTTTTTTTTTTTCATATCGTTTGTATCACAGCTGTACAAAAATGTATTTTAACAAATTAAATTAAAATTATTGAAAATTATAAACATATTTCTAGATAGGTTATTCGACTTATAACATAAATGAATTAGAATACGATAGCTTAGTTCTTCTTTTTCTTTTTGTCGGGTTGAATCAAGCCCTGTGATTCCTGGTATTGACGGACAATTTGTTCTTGAACATCTGGCAAACATGGGGAATAACGGGAGTACTCCATTGTGAATTCACCTTTACCCTGGGTACTCGATCTAAAAAGAAAAAAATTAATTTTGAATATGTTTTCAAAAATAAATAAACGGACACAATTTTCACTCACCTCAATTCACCAGCATAACCAAACATATCATTAAGTGGAACTTCAGCATAGACTGTAAACCAACCCTCGTTACCATCAGTACCAGTTATAATACCATGGCGTTTATTCAATTGACCCATTACGGCACCTTGGAATTCTTCTGGTGCTGTGACCTCCACCAACATAATGGGTTCCAAAATTTGCCATGAGCCCATTTGGAATACTTCTTTGATGGCACCGTGGGCAGCCAACATGAACGCCAATTCACTGGAATCTACAATGTGGTGACCACCGTCCTGTAGGCGGAAACGTATACCAGACAATTTGTGGCCCGACAACATACCCTTCTGGGCCATTTCGCGGAAGCCCTTCTCTACACCAGGAATAAATTGTTTAGGCACATTTGTACCAATGGTCTCATCAACAAATTCCAATTGGGTATTTTGGTGGGGTGGCAATGGCTCCATTACACCAATGATGCGGGCATATTGACCTGAACCACCCGATTGTTTCTTATGCAAGTAATCAAATGAACAAGGGGCCACCAAGGTTTCCCTGAAAGCTACCTTTGGCTTGCCCAAAGTCACAGGGCAATTATATTCACGTTCCATACGTTGAGCATAGATTTCCAAGTGCAATTCTCCCATACCGGACACCAAAGTTTCTTTGACATCGTTGTCATAGTAGAAATGGAAGGTGGGATCCTCTTTGGTAAATCTTTGTACAGCTTTGGCAAAGTTGTCACGATCTTTGGGATTGTTGGGAGTAATTGCCATAGACACAACAGGGTCGGGTACATAAATTGACTCCATACTTAGACCATCACGTGGATTGGTGGTGAAGGTATCACCGGAAGCACAGTCAACACCAAACAAGGCGAAAATATCACCGGCATAGACCTCATTTACATCCTCCATGTTGTTCGAATGCAAACGTACCAAACGTGCCAAGCGCACCTTCTTGTTGGTTCTGGCATTGAAAATAGTATCTCCTTTGCGCAAGACACCTTGGTAACAACGTAGATATGTCAATTGACCAAAACGACCAGCTTCCAATTTGAAGGCCAATCCCACAAATGGATCTTTGCCATCACGAGCAGGATTCAAGACAATAGATTGTGGTTCCTTTCCATCTTCCTCGATCAAGGCAATATTTTCTACCTCTCCGGGATGGGGCAAATAATCAAGGACAGCATCCAATAGAGGCTGCACACCTTTGTTTTTCAAGGCTGTGCCTACCAAAACTGGAGTGAATGTACGTTTGATACAGGTTCTTCTCAGGGCAGCCTTTATATCATTTTCTGTGAGTGCCTTTTCTTCCAAGAACATTTCACCCAAGGTGTCATCAACGTTGGACAAGTGTTCAATGAGTTCTTGGCGTCTTTCATCCGATTCAGTGCGCATATCTTTGGGAATTTCATCGTATCTAATCTCTGTTCCCAAGGGACCTTCAAAGTATATGGCCTTCTCCCCCACTAAATCAATTATACCTTTGCAGTCACTTTCCAAACCAATGGGTAGTTGGATAAAGGCAGCATTGTGATTCATTTTTGAACGCATTTGTGACAAAACTCTGTAGGGGTTGGAACCCATGCGATCCAGCTTGTTGATGAAACCTAGGCAGGGTACGTTATAGCGTTTCATTTGACGATTGACTGTTAGCGTTTGACTTTGGACACCACCCACAGCACAGAGTACCAAGATTGCACCATCCAAAACACGCAATGCTCTTTCTACCTCCACAGTGAAATCAACGTGACCAGGTGTATCAATGATGTTAATGTTGGTGTCCTTCCATAGGGTGTAGGTGGCAGCTGATTGGATTGTAATACCACGTTGCCTTTCCAATTCCATAGAATCCATAGTTGCACCCACATTGTCTTTACCGCGAACCTCGTGCATGGCAGCAATACGGCCGGTATAGAACAAGATACGTTCCGTCAAAGTGGTCTTACCGCTGTCAATGTGAGCTGATATACCAATATTGCGGATTTTTTCAATTGGTTTGTGTTCGGCAAATTTCAAATGAGTACAATAACCATTCTAGATGGGGAGGGAAAATGGAAAATCAGTATCATTTACAAGGCAATATTACATAACCTACATTTCCAACAAAATCGACCGAGTTGTCAATTAAAATTACTTACTTTGTTGAGAGTTTTGAGATTATTTAAACGGTTAACTAGATTACTAGTTACCAAACGTTTAATTAATGTCATCTTTAGTTGATTTTATTTATATTTTCGTTTGCCAATTGGAAAAATCACACAAATCCCTGGTCGTGCACACTGCAGTTACACCAACAACACGAAAAAGAAGGCAGCAGCGACAGCTGTTCACGGACAATATGACATGTCAGGGTTGCCATTATTGTGAGATATTCGTAGAAAATGATTACTTTTGGGAAAGTAGTCACAAACGTGACTTTTAAGGCGACGAATGATAGTCAGTGTTTTATGGAATGTAAAAGTACGTTTACATGTTATTGGATTTAAAATATAAAATGGATTTGGTAATTCCAAGCATTATCCAAACAGCTTATAAAAGATTGAGTTTTTCAATTTATCACCTTCATTTAGTTTACATCACCTAACATGACGTTCAAACTAAATAAATTTTCTTATAAATGGAATGCCAGATCTACTCGAGACGCGATTGCTGTTTATAATTTATCTCCAACGAAGCAAGAAATTCGATTCGGACCCTTTTTTTACACCGTCAATTTTTAACCGTCAATTCCTCGAATTATAAGTCAGATAAATTATGAATTCTCTTAAAACAAGTAATTTAGTAATAGCAAAGTTTGCGATTTCATTTAGCGCTAAAAAATTTTTAAATAAAACACATGTTATTTCTGTTTCACAATACGTGTATATTTATTAACAATAATAATTTGTTTTACACTAAAACAAGGAGGTATTTATGTAGGCTTGTAATAATGGTGTTTTTTTGTTTGGATTTGGAATAAAATAACGTACAGTCATTTTAGTTTGCAAAAATTTTCACTTCGAATTCGAATGCCAGTGTCCACTTGGTTTGATAATTTTAGTTGCGGATTGATAGGTAAGGGCTTAAACACTTATAAATAATAATTCTACATAAATTTTTTTAAATATACAATGTTCGTATTAACAATTAAAATTTATTACTAGAAAATGGTACGGGATTCAAATGTTCAGATTGGTGATATGTCAGTGAAGTTTTGAATTACATACATACATAAAAACTGTTATCTTCCTGGAATTGTTTAAGAAGAAGTTTTAGAAATGATGTATTTTTGAAGGACAATAAAAGCATGTTAAAATATACCGACAATTCTAATGTGTAAATGTCAATATGGAATTGACAGTTGAAATCTAGTTGATTTCGTATATGTAAACATGTTCAAACAAGTTTGAAGTTGACGACTATTATATATTGTTTAATTTGTCTTGCTTTCGTAAATGCAGGGTAAAACAGGTGCAGGGTGAGATTACATAAAAAGGTTTTTATACCCTCCACCATAGTATGGAGGGTATATTTTGTTTGTCATTCCGTTTGTAACACCTCGAAATATACATTTTAGATGGCACAAAGTATATATATTCTTGATCAACATAAAATTCTACATCGATTTGGCGTAGTACGTCCGTCTAACCGTCTGTGGAAATCACTCTAGCTTCCGAAAGAATTGAAATAAATTGATTCGATATAAAGTTGCATTCAAATTTGCAACTGCCATTAGATATAAGCTTCTCTCATGGTAGCAGAATACAGGTAGATGCATCAACGCATGGGAACGTTGATATATTAAAAAAATTGAAATTTTCTTTCAAATATAAGTAGATTTTATACGTTTTTCTATACGACGTCATTCGCGTTTTTCAATAATTTTTAAAATTTAAATAATTTTTCATTCAATATTTTCAATTCCAAAATTGGTTTGACAGTTCATTGTCCCAGCAGCTGTGTCGATGCGTCAACCTATATTCTTCTACCATAGCTTATCCGAAGCATCAAATTTTGTAGCAATGTAAACTGCCTTGCAATATATTTTTTCAATTTCCATTTTATCTTTAAATGTATGCATGTAATTCATAAGAGGAATACAGATAAATTTCACGCTAGAAAAATATGACCTGCTTTAGTATTTTGAAAGAATATTACAAAGAAAACGCCAAATATATGCGTGTTTTTTTTAAATATTATAGTACGTTTACATTAGATCTGTTTGAGCATATGATATGGAATTTGTAATTTAAGACTCTATCAGAAGGCATGTTTTAGTGTCAATTTTTCCATATGTATATATGAAGTATGTATGTATCTGAAGTTGCACACATCGTGTGATATATAGACGACATTTCACTTGTGAAATTCATGAGTAAGGTACATCATGTACTTTTTCGATCACAGCGAGCCCTATTTTCATCGGAAACATATAATTTAATCAAATGTGTGTGAAATTTTCACGATAGAAGAATACAGACAGTCGCATGAAAGAACTGCTGGAACAGCGAACGGTCAAACCAATTTTGGAATTACAATTTTTGAAAGAAAAATTATTTAAATTTGTTAAAAAATGCATACCATAACAACCTCCGATTGGGGTCGTATAGGAAAATCTCCTTAATTTTGAAGAAACATTTAAAAATTGTTGACATTTTAATTTTCCTTAGCGTTAATGCATCTACCCGTATTCTTCTACCAATGAAAATATATAAAATGTAATTTCGGTAAAAAGTCATGCATAAAGTATTAAATTTTTTTTTCAAAATAAAATATAGTAACAATGTTACCATGGTAGTCATGCAAACATGTCCTTAAATCTTTTTCAAGTTTATTCACAATCTCATTCTCAAAATTTATATTTATAAATCCATTGTATACACAGAAATCAGAGATAGGAACCCGTTCTTATTCAGTGAAATTTGACGTGATAACTTACAGAAAATGCAGAGATGGATAGTCTAATTGGAAATGACTTTACCTCCATAATTTTAAAATGAATGTAACCAGAGGAACTAATAAAAGCATATGCAAGTATTTGATAGCAAGAATTATAAGTCATATGTAAAATGGCAATATTTACATACACACAGAAATACACATGGATAATAAAAACGACAGAACATATGTAAAGCACTTATCGTCTGATAAAACTCTTAAATGCACTGGGCTTACAAAATAGGTAAACTGTAAACGTACTATTAGATTTATTTTTTTAAACACAAATGTGAAAAACACTCAATGAAATTTCTTTTTTTCGAACTGCGTTTCTTAAGACATGCAGTGGCAGGCCCTAAGTTTGTGGATAAGAGGTGGGAGATAAATATTTTTTTTCGGTTTCTCTTCCCCAGCATATTGATATTTTCATGAAATTATCTGAATCCCATGTAAGAAAGATAAATAATGATTATATATCGTTGTTGGCACGGTGGTCCTGGTCGGTTGGTTGGTTGGTTACACATGCATGGCTTTTTGTGGGCGTTCAAGGAACGTTTCTATTTTTTTGTTTTTGTCATTTATATAAAAAAGATGATAATTGTTTTAAATTTACTTTGCCTTAATCATACCATCGTTTCAAACGGATGTTTCTGTTGACGATACGTAGAGGCGTCTATTATCTGAATATCCGTCCCATTTTCGTACTGACGTATCAAATGTTTTGTGCTGAAAAAATTTACAAATGTATTGTGAGTTTCATATACATATTATTATTTTTTAAATAAATTATACTTAAAAATTTTGTAGAAGGAAAGAATATCAAATCAAATCATGCATTTCTAATGAATTTAATTTAGTTTACTTACAACAAGGTGATTCTATTAGGCATTCCGGTCTTGAAAGGAAATGTGGATAGAGTGTTTGTTTTTTGGTAATGTTTTTTGTTAGAAACTACAGAGTTGTGCAAAACAAATATTTTCGGCCTAGAGTTATAAATTACGTTTAGCCCTTGCAAAATCAATATGGAGACGTTAGAATATTGTAAACTAAATCTATATTGGCAACCCTAATATGCATACCAAGCGCCCTCTACATAAACTGATGATATCGATGTGGAGATCGATTAAATGAATAAGTGGTAATCGACAAGAACGCGATAACAGTACGTTTAGATACAAACATGGTAGTCGCATCGACCCAGCTAATGAAAAATTATTGAAATTTTTAAAAAAATTATTGAATAATACATATCATAACAACCTCCGATTTGCGTCGTATAAGAAAACATATAAAACTCTACTTATTTTTCACAAAACATTTTAAAAATGTTGACATGAAAAAAAAAAATAAATGCACTGTCAAACCAATTTTCGAATTGAAATATTTGAATGAAAAATTATTCAAATTTGTAAAAATTGTTAAAAAAAATGCATATCACAACAACCTCCGATTGGCGAACTATTAAAGTTAATCTGGATAAAAAGTAGTATGTAAACGTACTTTAAGTCTGTTTCGAATTTAAGAATATCTCACTAGAATAATCGTATTCTTCACTTTAAGTAAGATCTGGTCTTAAGGTGAGAATACATAAAAAGCTTTTCTGACTGGCTTAAGTCATCGGCTGGCTTCTTTGAAATAGAACTGAGGATCGTAGATCCAAAATCGAACTAAGTCAACTTAAAACTCCGTTGTTCCTCTACGAAGAACCCAGCCAATGACTTAAGCCAGTCAAAAAAGCGTTTTATGTATTCTCACCTTTAGAGCCGATCTCCTGTTATTGAAACTACTTAATATTCTTTGATTGTATGTGTATTTTGTTTGGCACAACTCTGTAGCATTGAAAATACACCGAAATGGAACAATTTACAACATCGAAAAAAAAAAATTAAATTAAAGGAGAAAGGATTAGAAATTGAAAATGTTCTTAAAATGTATTAAAATCAAACCTAAATGAACCTTCTTCTCTAGTAATCGAATAAAACCAAGTGTGTGGTATTGAAAATGTAATATTTATTGTTGATTAAAATGCTTTACACAATTATTAATTGTTCTATTGACATTTATAATTAACTACTGGTGGATGTATTCAAAATGTGATCAACATTTTTGTGGTAGTGTTACATCGCATGTGACTAGAACGAACTGGTTGTTGACAAGTCATTTTACTACCAGTCGCATAATATAATAATGGTTAATGGGATTCGATTTAGTGTGAACATGGCCTATGTTTTTAAAATAAATGCTAAAATATTGTTAAAATAACACTATTAATGATAATTTTTTAATTGTTAATGTGATTTTTTGTAATGGGTATCAGTTTAATGTTCATTGGAAATCGTTTGGTGAATGTTTAATCTTTTTCCCGAAAAAATTCTCCACGATAATTTATTTAGGTTAATATGTAATATATATAATTGTGCGGCAATTCCATGGTAGAAGAATACAGGTATATGCATCAACACTTGTCTCTTCAAATATAAGTAGATTTTTATATGTTTTCTTATTTAACATCAATCGAAGGTTGTTGTTTTCACAATAATTTTTAAAAATGTTAATAATTTTTCATTCGAAATTGTCAATTCCAAAATTGGTTTGACAGTTCATTGTCCCAGCAGCTGTGTCGATGCATCTACCTGTATTATTCTACCATGCCATGAATAAGGGATATGTAGTCATAAAAAGTACACTTTAAGCTTCTAAAGTTTTGCCTTCACGGACAATTTACTTTTCGATCTTTCGGTTCTGTCAAATCGTTTTTGACTTTTGTCGAACCAATGTCGACTTAAACGATTTCGATTGTAGAATTTTTCATATGTATATGTGTCAAATAGAAGATATGAACCAAATGATAGAAAAATTTGACAAAGTATCTATGATAATATAATTGAAAATTTTCTTCTTGTTTTTTCGTTTGGCTTGAGGTCAGAATTTAAAAAAAACCGACGAATTTGTTTCTTTATATTTTAATATATTTTTCCGATATTGCGACTATCTTCGATAGTCATCATCAGGGATTTGAATTGGATTTTATCTCTTCTGTTTTTAAGTTCTCTGATGCAGCTCTTGCATCCTTTCCTTTTTAATTTAATTTTCCAACAGAATATAATTCAAAAAGGGAAGGATGGAAAAACTGCATCAGAGAACTTAAAAACAGAAGAGATAAAATCCAATTCAAATCCCTGATGATGACTATAGAAGATAGTCGAAGTATCGAAAAATTAAATTAAAATATAAAGAAACAAATTCGTCTGTTTTTTTTTTTAATTCTGACCTCAAGCCAAACGAAAAACCAGAAATAAATATATTGATCAAAGGTCAACAATAACTACACAAAATAATTGAAAATTTATTACAGAAATTGAACGCTGCGATCTTTACAGCCTTGAGACTTTCCAAAAGTCGATCTACGTCTCCCTACCATGCATGATGCCATTCTAAGCCAGCTGAAAAACAAATTTAATGTGAAAATGCAATTTTGTTATTGAAATCACAGAACAAAAGATAAACCAATAGCCCACAAAATATAAGCAAATTTTGATATTAAACCAGATTCATGGTAGAAGAATACAGGTAGATGCATCAACGCTTTTGAGCATTGATATGTCAAAAAAAAAAATTAAATGTTTTTCAATTATAAGTAGATTTCTATATGTTTCCTTATACGACGTCATTCGGAGGTCATTATGAAATACGTTATTCAACAAATTTTACAAATTTTAATAATTTTTCATTCAAAAATGTCAATTCCAAAATTGGTTTGACAGTTCATTTTCCCAGCAGCTGTGTAGAAGAATACAGATAGTCGCATCAACACAGCTGCTGGGACAATGAATTGTCTAACTAATGTTGGAATTGAATTTTTTGAATGAAAATTTATTCAAATTTGTATAAATTGTTAAAAAATGCATAAAATAACAACCTACGATTGGCGTCGTATAAGAAAACTTATAAAAATCTACTTATACTTAAAAATGTTTGATATATCACCCAAGCGTTTTCTATAAATGTGTTTTTTATATAACATTGTACTGCCATGAGCTGTTATCTAGATAGTATAGACACCAACTATTTGCTCAGAATGAATTTTGTCTAGTCTTTACCATTTTAGGTCTTTGTCTCCCTCAGTGTTAGGGATTCGTAAGTCGACTTTTGACTAATCGATTAAAAAACAAAATGTTGTTTTTTCCGCTGTGATGGAAATAACAAAGTCCTCCTTTACAAGATAAATTTTCAATCTTGACATCATAGATTTTGGTCGATTATCATGTGTTCAATTTAGATTTTCTACCCCATCAAATAGTCAAAAACGCGATTTTATCATTGGTTGGCAAAACTATCATAAAATCGAAAATCTAAGTTACAATCCAAAATCGACGTTTTTATTAAAGTCAAAATTGGAAAAGTCAATATTTAGTACTGACTGCGAATTTCAAGCAGGTCCAGTGTTGTTATCTTAATTTCCCAATGTCGAATTTTGTTAATGGCTCCGAACAGTAAGTTATGGATTCACTGACTGTATGATACAATTGGTCGCTTGTTGACAGCTTCTCTAGCCATCATATCTACCTAGTCATTATAACTATCGCTTCGTGGCCAAGGATCTACTTCCATAAATATAAGAGACATCAGACAGATTGTCAATAGTGCGAGAACTGAGGCATTTGCATACTGGGGCGGCCGATGAAGACGCCAGAGAGTACAGCCAGTGGATCACATGGTCTACTCATACAACATCTGGCTGTATTTAATAACTTAACTGACATTGGCCAAAATTAATATTAGGCATTTTAGGCAGATTTCAAATTACAAGCCCAGTTGGACTAGAATTTTCTGAATAAAGATTCCGTTACATAAAATTTTTTGGCATAGGTCATCTGCTGGTGTTTTTTTCTAAACGAATTGAGAAAAAGGTTGAATTTGTTCGATAATTCCTTTGGTCTTTTACGAAAAAAAACTGCTGCTGTCTCCTGTCAGAAAAAAATTCTCTATGTATCGGCACCTTTGTTGGGATTTTGAATTTGAAAAAAAAAAAATGAATTATAAAAAACAGTCGTTTAAATGTAAAGGCTATGTAAAGACTATATAAAATGCTCTTTTGGCCGGCAATGTCATCGGCTGGCTTCTTTGTAGAGGAATAAAGCAGTTTTAGGTTGGCTTAGTTCGATTTTCTCCCTAAGTTGCTTTGTTCTTTCCGATGAAACCAGCCGATGACTTAAGCAAGTCAAAGAGGCGTTTTATGTATTCTCATATTTACCACTCGGCGAGCTTTCCTTTTCGTCTGATTGACATTTGGTATTGTTTAAATTGTAGATGTTTTTTTTTTTCATTTAAGTAATTAACTTATGTTTCAATTGACAGTTGTGTTTAATTAGTGTCTTTGTGTTGCTTTTAAGTTCTATTTTAATTTCTTTTTCCAAAAGACTACTTTAGACACATACAAAATGAACTAGTTTAATAAATGTATTTTTATATATGTCTGTATGTTTGCATATCAATTTTAAAAGTACATTGAGTTTTGTTGTATATTGTGATGCGGTATAAAATTGTTGAATACATATATAGTTTTACTCTGTAAAAGGGATGGAAATGACTAAGATTGTTTTGTTTTTACATTTGTTATATACTTAAAATCCATTGTTGATCTGTAAAAAAACGGTCGCTCTACGATTTCTAAACCCATACTTTGGGGTTTATAGATTTTGATAGAACTTTGAGTGCTTGGTAAGTGGTACAAGAATTTTTACAGGCATATCGAAATTGTTAAAAAGGCTTAAATCACGGTTGATATCTTTAACCACCTCACATTTTCACAACAAATAGGATACACAAGGTACAAAAAAGACTCATTAGTATTGCCATATACGCAAACTATATCTCCCCAAATATTCTCGATTTAAAAAACGTGTAAAACAAATTAAATTCGGTTTTGCCGACAGATGTAGACCCTCATCCAATGTCAGTTTATTAAGATATGTTTTATTCAAAAAGTGGATCCTTTATGTGAAGAGAAGTCCAGAAGTAGTGGGTCAATATTGCCCATTACTCATCTGACCTAAGTCTGATATAAATATTACAAAGTGCATGCATTTTGTAAAATGTTGATCACATAATACTGATAAAAATATGTGGATGTGCAAAATTTGAAGAAAATCAGACATCTATAACTATTTTTTGGGAAAATGTGGTGTTTCGTTCATTATGACTTATATACAGTGTGAGATAAAAAAACTGCAACCAACTTCAGACTGCTGTCACTTCTAAGCCTTTCGTCCGACACCTGTTAAAATTACTGCAGTGACAGCTTATTATATTGTGATGATTGAAATTCCAAAAAGTGCAAGAACTTACACCGCAACAGAAAGAAAATATACTCAAAAGAGTTAAAGGGTTGTTTGGCTTGGCCGAAAGTGGTGAACTTCTGAATTTGGTTTTCTCCGATGAAATAAAATGATTGTGTTTATTTGCCAAAAAGGTCAGCTGAAAATGTGCACTTTTGGTTATCCACCAGAACTCAAGCGCCGGCCATGGTGATGGTGTGGGCCGCCATAACAACCGATGGTCGCTCTCCGCTCGTACTAATCGACGTGGCATCAGAATAAATGCCGAATATTATCGCGAATATATTCTGGAGGGTGTATTTAAGCCTTGGGCACGCAAACATTTGGAGGTAGACCATGGACATTCCAACAGGACCATCGTACTCAGCACGCGCCACCCAAGAATGGTTACAAAATGAGGTTCCTCGCTTCATTTCCAGCGCACAATGGCCACCAAAATCTCCGGATACTAATCCTTTGGAATATTGTGTCTGTGTCGATCACCTCAAGCAAGCACCTCGCCGCAGAACAACATACGGGCAGGGTGTGACGGTTTCATTGGCAGTTTGAGGGCCATAATTGGTGCCAAAGGTGGCGAATTCGAACAAATCTAAACTTATTCTTACATTTGAAGCTATTTCCGATATTTTTTGCTTTCATTCAATAAAATTTTAAAAAAATGTAAAAATGATGGCGTTTGACTTTGTTGCAGTTTTTTTTATCTCACCCTATATGGTGGAGGGTATAAAAAATTCGAAATTGTGCAAGTTGACTATCCCCCTCAAGCACTCAAAGTTCCCATCAACCACTCAACCTTCATAAATTTAAGCCTATTTTCTTGTTCTTTTTGTTTTCTCTGATTGTTTTTTTTTCTTCTTACAACTGTGTAACAGCATACGTATTTTGTGCGAAACATGGTGTGCGCATGTGTTGTCATTCTAAAATGACGCTTTCAATAATTCTCATTGACTTGAATCTAAACGGGTGTGATGAGATTTTTATTTGTTTCGGCATCGTTTGAGGTGTCCTTAACATGGAATGGCTCATTTTTGGATGAATTGTCAAAAATCTGTTTTCCCGGTGTATTTAAATTCTCCTCTTCCTCGTTCATGGTGGTCAGTGATTGTTTACTTCATGTTTTTTTAAATATTTTTTTTTTAATTGACAATGAATGAAAATAATGCATAAATGGAGAACAAGAAAAAAACGGGAAGATGAATTAATTCATTTACAATTCTAGCTGTGTGTTTCGATATATCTATGATTCTGAATATTTCTACAATCTCCTTCTTCTTCTTTTCTTTGCTTATGTAAACAAAACGAACTCAACTTACTTATGACTGCCATTAACCTGTCGAACTTTAAAGTTGATTGGTATTATCAATTGTTCTGTTGAACTACCATCCTCATGCAGTTGCTGCCAAATACTTTGCACCTCTTGGGGTACATTCGTAGATTTTGCCTGTTGTTGCTGCTGCTGCTGATGGGCCGACGTTGATGACGTTTCACTTGAATCTACCTTTAGGGGTATGTGTATCGTTGTTGGTCCCGGATTTATAGACGAATTGTATTTATCATATCTGTCGTGGTGGTGATGATGATGCTGCTGTTGGTGCTGGTGTTGATGGTGATCCTTAAAAATTAAATACATAGGGTTGTTGTTTTTGCTGTTTTGCTTTTTTTGCTGTATTTGTATAAGTTATAGACCTTGTTTGGTTCGAAAATATCACTAGCTTACAATTGTGAGGGGGTTAAGGTGCCAAATATAGGTGATTGAAGAAATTTGAAAACGATCTTTTGTGAAATTTGGTGAAAGATTTTACAAAATTTTGAAGTTTAGAAATAAATAAATTAACACAATGATAATGGATGATTTTAATCACCGATCTAGTTTTTCGATTATAAAATATGTTCTGGAATTAAGTTTGAATTTGAGTTTACAGTATGTACATATGCGACTGTACAGCAGATTGATAGTTTGGAATTATATTTCACCGCAAGTTAGTGTTATTCAGTAGGGCTTAACTATAGTTTAGTAAAAACTCTTCAATTTTTTTTTTTCAAAATTTTCCAGTGGTAGGTATTTTTACCCTGATTTCGGGAAACTATTTTTTTTTCTTGGGGACGGACCCGGGGCTCCTAAAAGTCCGGTTTCAAAACCCGTATCCGCTATTTTAATTATATTTTTTGTTAAAAAATAAAAACATGAAAGGAATTGGCAGAAATTTTCCAGTATCAACAGTTTTTTCCATTTTTATTCCCTTTACCCAAGTCTCTCCTACAAACAAAGAAAAATTGCCTAACATAAATTTGGTAGTGCTCATCTTTGTGTACGGAAATATTTTTGTTTTTAGAAAATATTTCAAAACTCAAAGATTTTTACATATTAAGGGAACAAAGCTATTACACTGAAATCCGAATTGCTCCCTAATACCATGTTTTCATTTCACTTTTAATCACGTTGCTTGCTCTCTAAATTACCTACATCAAATGACGAGTTCAACGAATCGAATTTCGAATGATTTTAAATAACGAAACTCAAAATTGATGAGTAATGATCGAGTTGGAAAATGCATACAAAAATATTACAGGAACAAAAAATGGTAGATGGGAAAATAGGGTTTTGTTTTTAATGAGAATTTTATTAAATTTTGGATTTTTTAAAAATAAATATGACATCAGCTTAAAATATATGTTTATATCTAGCCTTTTCTTTTAAAAATATTTTTTTTATAAATATATTTTGAAACTTTATACTCATTTTGGAAAATATGAGAAACGATATTTATAAAAATGGTACAAAAGGTGAATTCATTTTTATTTCCTTCATTTCGTATTCTTGATAAGCCTTTTTTTCCATAGATAGAACCAGGAGAGAAATAAAATAAAACAGAGAAAGAGTTCTAATATTTTGCCATTAATAACCATTAGAGTTGTGTTTGTCCCAAACGAACTTGTTCAAAGGAACTATTTTTTTTTTGTGGAACGATTGGAATTTGACATAAACTTCCAATTAATATAGTTTGTTATTTAGTCTTTTATTGTCCTTTAATTCTATTTATTTTTATGATTCTTGCTAAACTTATTGTTTTTACTCAGAAACAATATCGAAAATAGTTTCAAATATTGTTAAGAAAGTAACTAGTAGATTTAACCATTTCTCCTCACTCGTATTTATAATTACTGTGCTATTTGTTGTATATTTCCATTGGTTTGTTTGTATATGTGTTTATATTCATTGACAAATGGACGTCGTTGCCATTTCTTTGGAATATTGTAACATATTCTGAATTAAATTTGTCGAAACTCCCATGTATAAATGAGGACTTACAAATACGAGTGAGTGGAAGCGAATCATGTTACAATATTATAAATTTGTGAAAATCTTCTCAACCGCATCGACAAGAACATATGCAAAAATTACATAAATGGAATGGAGGAGATCGATGAATGGAATAGTTTTCTCTAGGAGAAATAACTAGCAAATTGTTTCAAATTTTGTATATAAACAGTCTATAACAGCTCCACTTCTTCTTGTATCCCCTATATTACAATACCTCCCTCATAATCGGTATTTTTAAGATTTTAGCGTATTTTTACTGGAATTGATTTAAGTTTCGCCCCATATAACGATTTTTATTTGAGAAGTATTTTTCTAAGGTTTTGTTTTTAAAATTTTCAAGTTCCTTCAAAACGGTGGTGGCTATTTTTTTAATTAATAGGGTAAAATTTACCACAACCTCATAAAATACGTCCCAAAATTTCACCTCGACAGATAAAGGACAACAATCGCATCTGCCATTTCTCTCCAATCAGATCATGTCCCGTATATTAGTCTTCACCAGCACACAAGTTGATTTCGTACCAATGTACACGTCATGTTTCTTCAACATTCAATGCTTAGTTATTCCGATGTCAGGGAATTGGACGATGTCAGTGAATGATCATGAAGTTCTCTTCTCTTCAACTGGTTAGACTACCACAAATGTTGAAACATTGGAACCAATATAAGTGAAAAGAGGAGGCGTAAATAATAAACAGGAGCGATGACAGCAAAGGAAGAATCTTGAAGCCTTGCCAAAATGCACACTTGAATCAGAGTAATGCTAGCTTTAATACTAGCGAAAGTTCTCTCGCGAGAAAAAAACAAGTATGCACTATTTTTTTATTCCACTCGAATAAGAGGGAGGAGCATGTTTTACTCGTCTTCAGCAGTTTTAATCATTTTCCGTTTGAAGGCCATAATTCGTGCCAAATGTGACCAATTCGAAAAAATCTAAATGGTATTTGACTTTGTTGCAGTTTTTTTATCTCACCCTGTATAGCTTCTATAGTTATAGAGCTATATTCATGACAGGATGTCTACAAATTGCACATGCACGGAATCCATTGATACAAGATGTTCATGTTTCAATGGTAATGAGCAGTTTTTATTCGAATTCTCGTTGGGCGCCACTTTAAGTGTTTTCTCTTAAAATCTTTGCATTGATGAAAAATACTATAATTACAAGATCGCTTGTGTTGCTAAACAGTTTTCTGTATATAAATCGTATTTTGTAAATTGAAGAGAAGGCCAGTTCAACATTCGAATTCTCGTTTGGCGCCACTTTTATAGTTTTTTTTTTCGACCGTGGCATCAGAATAAATGCCGAATATTATTGCGAAAATATTCTGGAGCATGCATTAAAACCTTGGGCACGCCAACATGCATGCATTAAAACCTTGGGCACGCCAACATTCTGGCTGCAGACCTTGGACATTCCAACTGGACTCTGCACCATCGCACTCAGCACGCGCCACCCAAGAATGGTTACAAAATGAGGTTCCTCGCTTCATTTCCAGGGCACAATGGCCACCAAAATTTCCGGATACCAATGCGTTGGACTATTGTGTCTGGAGTATTTTGGAAAGCAAGATTGTCATTAAAAAATACCAAAATGTCGATCTCAAGCAAGCGCTTCGCTGGGAATGGGCCAAAATACCGCAGAGCTACATTCGGGCAGCTTGTGACGGTTTAATTGGCCATTTAAAGGCCATAATTCGTGCCAAAGGTGACCAATTCGAAAAAAAAAGTACTATAATTACAAGATTGCTTGTGTAGCTAATCAGATTGCTTTCTATAAATTGTATAACGATACAAATTTTGAAATATAGAAGACCATTTTAACATTCGAATTCCCGTTGGGCGCCACTTTTTTTAAAGAATATTTATAGAGGCATCTCATGTCAATAATCACAATTTTTTTTGCCGATTTTCGATATATATTTGCCAAATCTTCTGGCCGAAGATTGTGATTTTTTATATATTTTCGATTTTCTTTCAAAAAATATTTTGAATATTTAAAGTGTTCTGAAAAAACTACGATTTTAATGAATATTTTTTCAAGGACGAATTATTTTTCTTTCAATGACTTCATGATTTAAAGATGTGAGTATTGTCGTGGCAAAAACCCTATCCATCAAGATTTTCTTGGCAAAAAATCTTGGATGGTAATTTAAACTTCGATGTCCATAAAATCAAACGATTATTCCAAAATAAGTATAAAGTTACAAGAACTGACTATCTTCTATTATAGTAATTCCAGAGTTTGTTGTGGTTGTTGTTTTAGTAATTGTTTTTTTTTTTGTTTTGTAAAATTGTTCTATTTTAATTTTCTTATTTCTTCATTGTCTTTATTACAATAAAATGTAAAATAATTTTTTTTTCTAGACAGACTAATGCGGATGCTACTAGTAGATCGTTGTCTTTTTTTGTTGGTTTTGCACTTATTTCAAATGTTGTTTTTTTATATTTGTTTGTATTTCTGTGTGGTTCGGTTTGTAAATATATAAAATGTATTTGTATGTATGTATAATCTTCACATATATTTTATGGGCATATATTAATTAATTGTAATACGTTTTTAGGTACTTTTTTCTATATTGACTTAGTACAACGTTGTTTCTAAATTTAAAAACAAATTTCGATAAAATTACACATTAAAAAAAGGGAGGAGGTAAAACGATAATATTGAAATAAAAATAAAAACATTTAAATACAAGTCTACAAGCTAGTTGTGGTTGTTATAGCAAAGTGTTGTGTTCTCTTTTCTTGTGGCATAGAAAAAATTAAAATAAAAACAATATATATTCTAGTTAAAAAATTAAAAACATAGATGTACATACGTGGGTAAAAATTTGAATAACATAAACTACAATCTTCGCAATTAGAATGCTGCAGACTCAAATTGTTTAAAAATGTTTAAATATATGTATATGTAAATGCATTCAAACTAAGATTATTTTTAATATTTATATTAAAGAACATAATAATCATCATAATAATTAAAAAAATAATATTTGTATGTATATAATTATACTAAAAAAGAACTACTAGCTTAAAATTACAAAAAAAAAGGCAATTAAATAATCAAATACTGATTTAAAACAAAAATTGAAAATTATATATAAATCAATATTACAGTGAAGCACAAATCTATGTTGCTTTCTTTTGTTTCTGCTGTGATGTTGTTTTGTGGTGGTTGGTTGCTGTATTTGGAGGTCTACAGTGCATTTCAAAGGAACGTTAACTAACAGTGATCATCAAACAAATACACATACATGGAAACGTAAATAAAGTAGTAAAAGAAGGGGGAGAGAGCGAAATGACAACTTCATTTCGCCCAGTTTGTGAGAGAGAAAGAGAGCGAGAGTGGAAACATCAGCAAATAGTAGCAAAGTAAACATGACAACCCAATGCGAAAATGGGAAAATTCTTTCTCTTATTTCGTTCCACAAATCCCCATTTGCTGTCATTACTTCTTCAGCAATGCACTCTGGGCCTCCAGTTCCTTTTCATTGGCCTGTGTAAAACTGGCCGTCTTCATGTTTAGTTTGCTACCATTCTTCTTCGCAGGAGATTTCTCATTGATGGAATGTGAAGTACGACTACCACCAAAACAAGGTAACATTTTTCTAAAGCACCCCACCTCAGCATCCAATTGATGGAGATCATCAGCAGCCTGACGCTTCGTCATCTCCGGCATAATATCATCGAGAATTTTCAATTCCCTTCGGGTAAATACCAAATCCAAGGCCTTGCGTATACCAATCATAACGACCAACATCAGGGGGAAGAGTATGGATGTGGCCGAGAAGGATTTGATGAGCCACAGACACACCAAACAGGCCAATTGGATAATTGTGAACAGATGGACACGTTTAATGGGAACCTGTAGACAATTTTGAAAATTCTCATCAATAGATTGTAAATTTCTGGCTGATTTATTTTCCATACCTGTCTAAGGAACATATAATCCGGTTGATATTTGGCAGGCATTAACATGATCAGCAGGCGATCGAAGAATTGCAAACCCTTCAGCGATGCCACACCCATGTACAAGAAAACCCCAAACAATACCGGCATAGGAATGTGACACAATATGGGTGTCAAGTAAACAGAGAGGCCAATGCTAAGGAAAATCAAAATGTGGGTAACACGCTGCTCTCGCACTCCCAAAAATTGTGGTTTTTCACCCGGTGCCGAACATTCTGATTCCTTTTTCAGTGAATTCACATGGTTAATACTGAGCACAGTGGCAGCCACGAACCTGGAAAGGGAAAAAAGAAATTTTAATCAAATTAAATTTAGACGTGGGGGGATGATTTTCATTGACATTTTAGAAGAAGACATTTTCTGTACAGTCACTAGCTCTCTCTTCGAGAGATTTAAGACCTCTCCTACATAAAATAATCTGCATATTGATGGTCTCTTCCATATATCCCTTCTGTGGGCATAACTTAGACTTAACCAATTTTCCTTGAGTAATGTTCCATACATATATGATAAATACATTTTTTGAATTCATGTTGGGCGCCACTTTTGGTCTTATATGTAATGATAATATGATATAGTGATGACCTTTTCCATAGATACAATATATGATACAAAAAGTACCACTTCTAGACTCGAATTCTCGTTGGGCGCCACTTTTGGTGTTTTCTTCTAAATTCTATGCATTCATGCCAGAATGCCTACATATTACATAGGCACGGAATCTCCTTTAATATTAGTGCCTTATTCATAGATTAAACAGCTCCTTCGATGTTTTGTATGTAGAAGACAAGTAAGTTATTCAAATTCTCGTTGGGCGCCATTTTTGGTTTCATGTCTACACCAAAAACGTTTTTATATTGATGGCCTGTTCTATAGATGCAAGATGTTCCTATTCCATAGTAAAGAGCAATTTGTATATATGATACATAGAAGCTGGTCTTCTATTCAAAGTCGAATTCTCGTTGGGCGCCGCTTTTAGTGTTTTCTTTTAAAAACTGTGTATTAATGTACAGTACTATAATTTTATGATCGCTTGTGTAGCTAAACAGTTTAAGACCGGTACAAAATTTGAAATTACGTTGGGCGCCATTTTTGCAATGTACTTTTGATAATTTCTTAATATCTCATTTTCTATTGACAATGGTTTGTTTTTAGAAGACCAGCAAAAACTTTTCATTGAGTGATGTTTTATACCCATAAAAAATTATTTGAATTCATGTTGGGCGCCACTTTTGGTTTTACGTCTAAATGAAAAACTTCCATATATTGATGTCTAGTTTCATAGATACAAAATCGCTAGTGTATGTAAAGATCTGTTTTATATATGTTATGTAAACATTTATTTTTATATGTTTAAAATAGAAGGCCAACACAAGATTCGATTCCGCGTTGGGCGCCACTCTTGGTGTTTTCTTCTGAATTCTATTCTTACGACGGGATGTCTACATATTAATTACCTCTATATTGATGACCGATCGTTTGTGTAGGTAAGGAGCTATTTTTATGTTTGAAACAAAGATGACTACTTTAACATTCGAATTTACGTTGGGCGCCACTTTTGGTGTTTTCTTTTAAATTCCATATATTGACGACAAGTTCGTCTGTGTAGCTAAAGAGCTATTTTTATGTATGAAACAAAGATGACTACCCCAACATTTGAATTTACCTTGGGCGCCATTTTTGGTGTTTTTTAGCTCCATGTATTGATGACAAGATCACTTGTTTAGGCAAACATAATATTTTCTAATGATTCCGTTGAGCGCCATTTTTGTATTTACTTTTGAATTTAATGATTTATGACCTGTTCTAAAGGTGTAAGATCGCTAGGGGGATAAATGACTTATTGTCTATTGATAAAGTTCAGTACTTAAAAGTCTGACTTATTAGATTCTCTTTGGGAGCCACTTTTGGATTTTACCTTGAAATAGTAACCAATTCTAGTTTCAGAGCTACAAAAATGTTATTTTTAGCCGCAAGGCTTAAACAATATTCGTTTCAGCACCGTGAATAATACCACCTACTTTGCCAAACCTAGCCGATACTTAAAAAAAATTATTAAATGTGGCAAAAATCATTAAAATACCGAATATCGGGAGGTACCGTTATATGGCGGCTATACCAAAACCTGAACCGATATATCTCATTTTCAATATCAACCATCCTAGACCCAATACAAATTGGTCTGCCAAATATTGAAACTCTACGTCAAATAATATTCGCTGTATCTTGATTTCAACAGACAGGCGGACAGACAGACATACAGGCGGACGTCGTTAAATCGATTTAGATTTTATGCTTATTATAAACATATTTAATTTCTGGATTCTACGGCAAAATTTTACGGATACCCTCCTTTTCAAGGTGGAGAGTATAAAAATAAAATTTAACTAATCGTATTAGATTTGGTTCCTTTTCGGAGCTCCGATCTTAACAAAAGTAAACAATTTCGTTAACTTTGTCCAGGTTAAACGTTGGGCGCCATTTAAAGATTAAAAAAAAAAAATCGAAATAATGTTGTCAGGTGTTTCGAAATGTATTTTTCGGGACCTACGTTGGGCGCCATTTTCTAAAAACGAACACATAAAAATTTCATTATTTATGATTTTCCATTGGGCACCTTTTCTGGTGCACATATCGAAGCTAAATCAACTTAACTAAAATAAATTTGTGAAGTTTTACTTCTGTGATAAGATTTACTCTGTACATTCTTTCAGGAGAGTTGTACAAACAGATAAACAAGCTACACTTATTAAACTCTTACAGTGTAAACGTAAGCAGCAAACATTGCAGCAGAACAACAAATAATATTTGTCCAGATTTACAGGATATGCAATAATCCCTTCTCTCACATTTCTCAAAAATGCCTTCACAATTACATCGTTATCTTCTTAATTTGAAGATTGGGCACCATTAATAGGAAAAACGTATCACATAGTACTACAAAGAAAAATTTCTGCGATTATTATTTAAAAGACTTTCCACGTTGGGCGCCATTTTCTAAAACAAATTTAATTGGACGTGGCTTCTCTTTAAGAGCTTTTTATGGGATTCCAAATTAATCTAAAGCAATTTCATTTACAATTTGTCCCACAACACTTATAACGTAGGCCGCCATAGTCAGCTGCATAACTGATGTACATAATATTACAAATGACATTTAGAAAAATATTATTAAAATCCCACGTTGGGCGCCATTTGCTGGAAACTAAATTAAATGGTTGAAAAAGGATTCATTCAATACATTCGTGGTAAATACCAGCCACTATTCAAAACAATATTATTGAAACCCTACGTTGGGCGTCACTTACTAAAATCTAAATTAAATTATTGAAAAATAATTCATACGCTACATTCAGTAGGGTTCATTGAAACACATACTCGCTATTTGTTAGAATTTTTCATTACAGAGGATTTTCGAGGTCTTCAGACCTCTTCCCTGGATGTAATACCTATTCTGCATATACACCCATAAAACACATCATAAAAAGCTATCTATTAAATTTCCCTTATATATGTTGCCATCGGCAAAAATAATTACAAACATCCACCATCTTTGTTTTCCCACTTACCATGGCAATCCCATAATACTGCAAATTTGTATCAAAATGGATAGCACAAACAAATCCAAATGATAGCCGCAACCCTTGCGCAATTTATTCTCCTTACGATTGATGATGACAGCGGTAATTTGTTGATCCATAAATATGAGAATTGTACCCAACAACGCTGGGATGACAGCTGCAACCGTTGACCAGGCTGGATTGTTTTCTGTGAATGGTGGGATGAGCCAATCACGTGTGGGCAAGGTGGGTTTCAGTTCGTGTGGTACCTCCAATTTGGGTGTTTCGATTTTCATGAAATAATCAAAGGCGGACATACTGAAGATGGCAATGATAACGGAGAAATCGCTAATGTACTGGCGAACAATGGTGGGGAAGAATCGAGCCGTTTTGAAATCTTTCAAAATGGTCGAAATGATAAACGTGCCCAAGAACAATAACACAGACATGAGGAATATATTTGAGGTATCAGGTTGTTCACAATCCATGCCGACAAGGGTGCCATTGTTGACCTAAAATTACGGACAAAATTAATATTTTCCTCAAAATTTACTCAAAAATGAAATGCTGAATACTTACCGCACAATAATCCTTATTAAATTTGGCATATTCCAAAATGGTGGCATTACTGCCCACTGGCGGTGTACACACACAATCATATATCTCATTGTGCACCGGATATGTTTTGCCAATTTTCAAAACATTTTCAACAGCCTAAAATTGTATAGAGAAATATTATGCTTGGGCGCCACTTAATGCTGGTAGCTAGCACGTACCTTCATTATAAATATAAATGCTATAAGGGTGGCGAAATTCTCCTCTGTAAACCGGGTGATGTAGCACACCAATGCACTGGCATCCACAGCGGTCAAGATCAACAAAATCACAGCTATCCAGGTGCCAATCCAAAATCGGAATGTCATATAATCCCAACCCTGCTTTAGGCAAAACTCATAGACAATTGTTTCGAATACCAGCACCGGGCCCGTTGAACCCAAAATCGTGAGGGGTTGGCCCGAAAAGAAGCCATAACCAATACCGCATACAAAACCAGATACCAACGATTCCATGGCAGCCATGTTTTTACCCGTTGCCTGTGACAGCAGACCGCCAAAGGTAATGATGGGCGATAGGCAAGCAAAGTACAAAAATATCCATGAGGCTATGCACTGCATGGAGAAAGCATCTGTAAAATCGGATATATAAAATGGCGCTTTACGTTTGACATCGTTCACCAGGCCACCAAACAAGCGACCCGATCGCGATAGACCAGATTCTTCACGGAGCTTTGCCTCCAACTCTTCCTCGTCGATTTCCTCTTTGGGTGCTTCGGGTGGGCGTTTACGTATCTCTTGAGATGGCACAGCTGCTGGTGGTTCAATACGTATTGCTGGATCCCACTCGCCGGGTGGTAGTACTGTTACGGCATCCAAGAATTCATCAATACCGGCCAATAAATGATCACGCTTACGCGCACGATAGGCAACTTCATGGAAGATTTCATCCGACATTAGGGTGGCCATGGCACGACCAATTTCATGGAAATTACTTTGACTGCCGGGCGGGCCCAACAGAACGAAAATGAATCTGTGTGGAGGGGAAACAGAAGAGAGTGAGAGAGATGTGAGAGGGAGAGAATACTCAGAGTACCTTTTGAGGGTTTCCTATACAAAATGGAGCTTTTAGAGGTCTGCTATAGAAATCGATTTGCCATACAATGGCCTTATATATAGAAGACCTCTCGTCGGTCTTATGTGCTTATAAGAGCTTTTAAAGCTTTTTTATGTATAGACAGTTTTTTAAATACCAGAAGAGCTTTTGAAGGTATTTTGTACAAAAGAATACCTCTTAATTCGGGTTTATAAACAGAGGATATGTTTAGGGTAAACTGCACAAAGAAAAGCTTTTTAAGGTCTTCTAAACACAGAGCCCTTTTTGAAGGTTTTCCATACACCAAAGAAACTTCAAAGGTTTTTTGCATATCCCTCATACACAGAAGAACTTTTGGATATTGTCTTTTTACAGAAAAGCTCTTGAAGCTTCCATGGGCATAGAAGGCCTTTCGATTACCTTCAATGCTCAGAACAATTTTCATAAGTCTCCTATACACAAAAGAGCTTTTGAGAGTTATAAATAGGCAAAAGGGCTGTTGAGAGTTTTCTCTCTTCAGAAGACCTTCTATAGGTCATCAATATAAAGAATATTTTTCGAATGTATCCTTGCATTTTTAGAAGGTCTACTATCCATAGAAGATCATTCAAAGGTGCTTTATTCACAGACGAGTTTTTCTAGGTGTTCCAACAGAGAATGCCTTATAAAGTCGTAGAAGCTTTCGAAAAGCTTTTGTATGTCTTTATTTATCAGAAATCTTTAAAGCTTCTTATATACGCAGGAGAGCTTTCGAAAGTCTTTTGTACGCACAAGAACTCTTAAGGTCTTCTATGTTTAAAAAAGTTTTCGAGCTTTTGAATGTCTCCACAGAATTTTTTTAAAGGCCTTTTATCCATGGACGCGAATTTGAAGGTCATCTTTCAAAGAAAAAAAAAGAGCTTTTGCTTTTACTCAGAGAGGATAGCTTTTGAAAGTTTTCGGTAAATAAAAGAGTTTCTGATGACCTTCTATACATAGAAAAAGGTGTTTCATTAACAAACAAGCTTCTCAAGATCTTCCGTACACAGAAGAGCTTTGGAAGGTCTCTTATGTACAAAGAAAGTATTCTTTATGCCAAATACCTGTTAAGGTCCCTCAATACACAGAAAGCTTTCTGAAGATCTACAAACAGACGGGCTTTTGAAAATCTTATATTCAATCGTCCTGAAGGTCTATTCTACTCAATAGAGCTTAGAGAGCATGAAAGAGCTTTCTATTTTTTTTTTTTTTTGTTAATAAAAGAGCTTTTAAAATTCTTCTTTGTCTAAATAATAAATTCTTACCTTGTGGGCACCGGAACCTCTGTGAGATCACCCATTATGGCGGCATCTTTCAAACGAATAAAGCCGGCCAATGGCTTTTCCAGGAAATCCACCTCGCCCACCAGAATATTACTGGCCTCTGCACCGGGAGGGATTTTCCTCATGAAATTCATGTTGGCTCGATGATCACTCAGATCATTGCCGCTGCTGTTCCGCTGCATTGACTGACTGCTGGGACTCTTGATCATGTCCTCTGTTATAACAGGCATTTTATTATTTTTACGTAATTTTTTAGCTTTTTCTTTAATTTAAAGTTTTTCAAAAAATTACAAATTTCAACAATTTACAAACAACATTACCGGACAACATCAATATTACAAATCAAAATCATCAAATTCAGTGGTTTAAACAAAAAAATAAGGTAGGTGGTTGGGCAACAAAGGGGTGCAGATTATAGTTGAGTGGAAATCATAAAAGAAAATTGAATAAAAAGTGAATAAAAAAATTATTAAAAAAAATCACTACAAAATAAAAATATTTTTATTGCATGCTTTTAGGGTGAAGTGTAAAAAGAACGCACATTTACTTGAGAAGTGGTCTAGAAGTGTGGGTGAGAGGGGGTGTAAGATGGAGATAATGATGAGATTGTTTTATGTGAGTCCGTGTTGGCGTGAGAGATGAATATGAGAGAGTGAATATTAATGATTTTCCATTGGGAGATTTTGCTAAGAGGTATTCAAGAGAGAATAAAAAACTTGTGAGACACATTGACATTCTCTTAACTAAAGAAACATTTTTGAGATACAATAATTTATCTTTAAGAAAGAAAAAACATCCATGCACTGATATTGTAAGGAACCAATTCGGGAAGAGAATCGTTTCAGAATCATAACCAACTGTTTCATTCAAAAAACGATTTATTTACATTACAGAGAGAGAAATAGTATTTGTCGTCTTCTACTAAATCATAAACTGAACATATTTTTTATTATTTCGGCCTTAAAGTTCTTTACCATTTGTCAAAGTATGACTCTTTTGCGGTTTCGGTACGGTTAAAAATCGTCCACCCATTGTATTATCATCGCTTTTGTTTCCATTCGAACCATTTGTGGTTGTCAAGGAACTGGGTGATGTTGCTGTCATTAAACCCGGTGCCGATGAAGCGCTATGATGCTCTTCCACTAGAATTGATTCATTTAGTTAGACGAAAAAATAGTGAGAGCGAGAGAGAGGGAGAGACATAGAAAGAGAGCAAAGAGAAAAGGGAGAGGTTGCCAAAGGTATTTAATTTCTACAAAGGAACTTTCAACAAGGAATGAAATGGACTAAGTCGCGTAAATGCAGAAAGTAAGTCACCCATAGATAGAGAGAATGACCTGCTATGACATCTACTCTACAGTAGATGACTTCGAGAGTAATCTACTCCAGTGTAGATGACTTCGAGAGTAATCTACTCCAGACTAGATGACCTCGTGAATCATCTACTCCAGAGTAGATGACCTCGTGAGTCATAAACTCCACAGTAGATGACTTCGTGATTCATCTACTCCACAGCAGATGACTTCGTGAGTCATCTACTCTACAGTTAATGACTTCGTACGCCATCTACTTTGCATTAGATGACTTCGTACGCCATCTACTTTGCAGTAGATGACTTCGAACGCCATCTAATTTGCAGTAGATGACTTCGTACGCCATCTACTTTGCAGTAGATGACTTCGTACGCCATCTACTTTGCAGTAAATGACTTCGTAAGCCATCTATTCTGCAGTAGATGATTTCGTACGCCATCTACAATAGCATTTTTGACTTCGTAAGCTGTCTACTCTACAGTAGAGGACTTCTACTCTACAGTAGAGGACTTTCTAAGCTATCTACGCTATAGTAGATGACTTCGTAAGCCATCTACACTACAGAGGATGACTTCGTAAGCCATCTACACTACAGTAGATGACTTTATAAGCAATCTACTCTTCTGTAGATGGCTTCGTAAGCCATCTACTCTTCTGTAAAAGCCATCTACTTTCTGTAGAGTATTTCGTAAGCCATATATATATGACTTCGTGAGTCATCTACTCTTCTGTAGATGGCTTCGAGAGCCATCTACTCTTCTGTAGACGACTTCGTAAGCCATCTACTCTTCTGTATATGACTTCGTAAACCATCTACTCTTCTGTGTATGACTTCGTAAACCATCTACTTTACAGTAGACGGCGTGGTAGCCATCTACTCTACCATAAATGCGTAAATAAGTCATCTATTTTACAGTATATGGTATTGATGGTGTACATCTTTTAAAGTTGTTAATAAGCCTTCCTTGTTGAAATCTCCATTATTTATTTCTATTAACATTTAATTAAGAATATACAAAATACGATTTAATTTTACTATAATTTTTTATAAACAATTTTAATTGAAATCAAATTTATGCTCATTTTTTTAAAATTGATTTTAAAATAATCTATGTTGAATGACCCATTTATAAGACATTTTTAAAGAAACATTAAAAAGTGTAAAGGAATTTTGCGTATGGTAGCATCATTAAGAGAAAAAACTGTGAAGAAGAGAATTACGCTCAGCACACAATTATATCAATAACACGGAGAGAGTGAGAGAGAAAAAAAGGAGGAGAAAATAACAAGACAAGTTGTAGTACAACATACATATCCGAATGATGTGAATTGAGGAAAAAGATATCAAAAAATATTCTCTTTAAAAGTACTTTTTTTAAAGAGCGTATCAAAGACATTAGAGTTTTTAGAGGGAGAGAGAGTAAACACATTTTTAGTTTGGCTATGATTATTTTTTATCACAGTAATGGGCTGTAATATTCTTTGCTTTGCAATTAAAAAAAGAAACAACACGACAAAACCTTCTTTACGTCTGTTGGCTGCCCCGTATCCGTGTGAACCGTGTGGCGAATGTGAGGAGGAGCCGGCATGGAACCAAGTGGTTACACCAATATGACCAAGTTCAGCTATTAAGTTAATAATAATTGAGGAAGGAAGGAAGGAAGCATATAAGGAGCATTTTTATAAAAAAATACAATTTGTGGTTTTCTTTCAAATTCATTTGAAACGACAACGGATGATGTGATTTTCGAAACAAAAATTTTATGAAGAGGAAGAAATATGCTGCTGCTGCATGTGGCGTGGTTGGTGGTGGTGGTAAATGTGGCGGATGGCAAATGTTATTTTTTGTGAAGTAGGGAATTAAATAGCCTACTCTAGAACCGTATGTGGGAAATTATGTCGCTATATTTCCTTGGGTGGTTCTTGGCTTTCCTAGCTATACAAGGTGCTTTAAAATAAAAGAAGGAACACATTTTATACAGGTATCTTGGCATTTAATTACTATGCTGTTGTTTTGCTTTACATAAGAATGGTAACTGAATACAACAACAAAATACTGATAATTAACTAAAATATTAAAAGGTGAGAGAAGGATTAGAGTTAACATTGCTCTACCTGTGGGCACAGCAAGATAACAACCTCGCTGATCCTTACTGCTGGCATAGTAAGGCGTCGATGTCGATGCATAGAGCGGATTGCTGCCATCAAGTCCTATTGAGGACACATTCACATGCAATGAATTGGTAGAGGCATGTAAATCTTATACATATTAACATTCAATTAGTATTCAGTTTGTGTGCATGTGTGTGTTAAAGAAGGCCCTGTATTTAAAAAAAATCTACATATACAAATAAGACACTATGTAACATTGCTTAGGGGATTTTTCCATTTTTAATCATTCGTATGACATCTACCAGATGTCTTTGGAGATCATCTACTTTACAGTAGATGACTTCGGAAGACATCTACTCTACAGTAGATGACTTCGGAAGACATCTACTCTACAGTAGATGACTTCAGAGGACATCTACTCTACAGTAGATGACTTTGGATGTCATCTACTCTATAGTAGATGACTTTGGATGTCATCTACTCGACAGTAGATGACTTAATACGTCATCTACTCTACAGTAGATGACTTCACATGTCACCTACTCTACCGTAGATGAGTTCGGATGCCTTCTACTCCACAGTAGATGACTCCGGATGTCATATACTCTATAGTAGATGCATTCGGATGTCAGCTACACTGTAGTAGATGACTTCAGATATCATCGGATGTCATCTACTATACCGTAGATGACATCGGATGCAATCTACTGTACATTAGATGACTTCGTATGTAATTTACTGTATAGCTGATGACTTCGTACGGATCTACTCGACAGTAGATGACTTCGGAAGTCAACTACTCTACAGTAGATGACTTCGGATGTTATCTACTCTGCAGTAGATAAATTCGGATGTCATCTTCTCCACAGTAGATGACTTTTGATGCCTACTCTACTCTACCGTAGCTGATTTCGGATGTCATCTACTCTACTGTAGATGACTTCGGATGTCATCAACTCTACGGTGGATTACTTCGGATGTCATCTATTTTGCAGCAGCTGACTTCCTATATCATCTTCTTATTTTTCTATTACTCTTCCGCAGATCACTTCGGTTTTTTTTCTTGGGAGAACCCTATGTTACATAGTGTAAACTGTATATTACCAATAGCGCTACGGACTAATCTTACGTTACGTTGTCTACTAATTTCCATAGATCCATGTGTTAAACGTGACTTTTATAAACATGTTAGGAACTCTGAGAATTTTTCTTGGCTTGATACGAGATAATGAGATAGAAATGTTAATGTTGGGTTGGGGGAGAGAGAGATAAATATAGGACAATGAAGTTTACAGAACATAAAAATAGTTCAGGGAGTAAGAATACTACTCACTCTCCTGCTCGAATTTTCTTTACACAATGATTTGGATCAGAGATGGACACTTTTATGATGTTATGACAATGTTGATGGGTTTGAACACAAAGAGAGAGAGGGGTTCTCTTTTCAACTGGGTAAAAGCCAAAGTCAAATTTCAGTTACATAAAACATAATCTGTGATAATGGAAGAGAAGAGCAAATTATTTCTCATATCTGGGCCTTTAACTCAGTTTCCCTTCATATGAAATATTTTCCTGTTGAACCTCGCCAAAAATCACTGACTGCTACTCCCAAAAACAGCTACTCTCTTAGCAGCTCTTTCGAATTAAAAAATAAACTGTTGATGGCTTCCTTTCAACAAATTTTCCCCTTTCTCTCTCTCTCTTTGTGTTCACTTTCAAAACTTTCCATGGCATGATTAATTACAGATTTTATTGAGAAAATATTTCCATAAAAGTTATTTTTTTACTTAGTTTTCTTTTGTGCCAAAAACTTACTTTTCGATGATGAATGATTCCGTCCAATGTCGGCCAGCGAACGTATTATCGGCAATTTTGTCTTCTTGTTGTATTCGTGCTGATGACGATGACGCCGCAGCAGAGCATCCTTAACTTTATCCCTTGAGTCGGCCGGTAATGTGCGGGCATTTACCATATTCTCACAAACCAAATCGGCTATCAGTTCCAAGCTGTTCGCCTCCATGTCCAGTATCACAGAGCCGTTTAACAGCAGGGTTCTCAGTTCGAATAGGGAGTGCAACGATAATGTGGCCACATGCGGCTTAGACCAACGGTTGCCGCCCTCTTCAACATCCTCTTCGAATTTTATCCATCTGGCTGTTTCTTTCCATTCGATTTCGTCACCTTCCTTAACGAGGGTTAAGTATTCCGAGAATAGGGGATGGGAGACGTGGGTGCCATCGTCGGCATCCTCTCCCAATATGAATTGTACCCGTTGGGCGGGTGGAGTAACTAGAATGGGAGGGAGGAAATATGTTTATGTTTAGTTGAAGAAGTTAATTTTTTTTCATTTCAGTGAGAATCGGCAATTTTTGTTTTGTTGACGATGTTTTTGTTGCATGTCAACGGCCAGTTGTTGAATGTTTTTTATTAAATTGTATTTTTATTTATATTTTGACTCACCCGGCCTTTCAACTTCCGGCTGCCTCTCATCCCCGCTGCTATCACTTTTGCCATGATGATGTTTGCGCCTTCTTTGCGAATGGCGACGTCCACCCGGTACATGTACACCTACATAGACTGAATGGGCCCGATGTCCTGCAAGAAAACCAAAAAATAAACAAATGTTACAATCATAACAAATAAACAAAACAATTAATTAACAAGTAAGCAAAGGCTACAGTCGAGCGGGGCCGACCGTTGAATACCCTACAACACTATAATAAATGATACAGTTTTTATAGGCGAGATACTCGAAAGAATTCCACAAGATATTGTGACAAATAGTAAAGGAAAACCATCAGGTTTCGTTCTCTAATTTTCAAATAATAGCAACTTAAACGAATTTGCTCATTTCCAATTTATTGGTAGATGTTGCACGTAAATGGTCTTCCTAGATCTGGAACCAATATTTCCCAAAGACCTATAATCTCTCAGAAGTGGCAAAAGATTAACATTTATTATTGGTTTTTGACTAAAACGCATCTATATGAGATACAGACATTTGACTATATTCTTCAACGAAATCAGCCTTAACGAAATAGTCAGAAGTGCGTCTTTCCTGTATTTGTGAATTCTCCAAAAAGACACTGGAATGGATATTTTCGTATTTTGTCTACAAAAGTTGGCAAACTATTTCACACATTGAATATTTTTGGATGGCCATCCAAAACTATTTGGCTTTTGCAATGTCCGGTAACCTCCATTCAAATTCGCGTGAGGATCGGGCGATAATTACGACCTGCTGACAATTTTGCAGTTTTTTTGGTCCATTTCAACCCCTAAATATATGGCTATCATCTCCAAAAAGTGTAGGCTTCTATTCTGACCCTCATCTTATACCCATGCTAAATTTCGTAAGGATCGGACCATAAATGCGATCTGTATATGATATCCTGATATCCTAACTACTTAGTTTTGTTAGCTGTAGAAATATTACCAAATGTTTCATTCAAAATGAAAATATGCCAAAAATATGACAAAATTGAAAAAATATGAAAAATGTTACAAAATCAATATTTTCATCTTTAGAGAGATATTTTTATGCGATTTTTTAGACGTTTTTTCTTTCCTGCCAAGAGGCCATTCTGAATTAATGAGAACTGTCGAAATCAGTTCAGCCGTTCTCGACATATATGAGATCTTTCAAGCATATCTTCTTTGATGGACATATATATCGCATATATTTTGCTATATATCCGATTTGTTGGATCTTAACATCAATGTCATGGCTTTGTGATTTCGGGATTTAAAATATTCGCGGTTTAATGAAAAATTTTGAATTTTTTCAACAAAAAAGATATGGTCTATTTTACCCGCTAAATATTATCCGATGACCATCAAAATTGGTAGGCTTCTTCCCCGCCCTAAACTCTAGCTACATGCGAAATTCCACGTCGATTGGTCTATAATTACGACCTGTATAGCTATTGCAAAATCCGACATTTTTTCAGTATTTGGTCCATTTCAACCCCTAAATGAAACAGGTTGGACATTTTGCAAATTTCAATTGTTTACGAATAGAAAATATTCTATCGACCTGCAGAAGTTCTTAGATAAAATTAAGACATTGTGGATGTTTTTAATATATAAAATACCAGGAGGTATATCCTGTCTCTCTAAGAAAAATCCTGTAAGAAAATTTCCATATAAAAATTATCTCTGTAGAAGAGCTGTAGGAGTTTTCAATATTAAGAAGGCACGTGAAAGGTCTTCTATATAAGGACCTTAACAAAATTTGGACTAAGAACCCAGTCCTTTGGGGTTTTGATCTAGGAACAAGTACTATCATGTCCACTTGGCATTTTTTAAAACCCAGACTGGCTATTGTACAGTAAAATTATAAGAAAATTTGCAGCGAAAATTTGTTATAAATTTTTCCGAAATAAACAAGGTGCTTTATTAACAAAGACGGATGCTTTTTTTATGGTACATATTAAGTATGCAAATTTCTTTTGTTCAGAGACTCACAATAAAATTTGTTCTGGAATAATTTCTACTTTGACACTTTCGCCAAAAACTGAAGTATAAGGGGAGAATTTGACTCGGATTGGATGCGTGTTAAATTAGAAGGAAAAAAGGCAAACTCATAATTTTCACTTGTAATATACAAAATTCGTATTTAATTTCCTTAAAAACTGTTATACCTAGATATATGTATTATTCTGAGATTTATAGTGAAATTTTATGTAGAATATTTCTTCTCTTGATACCTTTCGCTTACAACCTAATTTTATGTTACTTTTAAGCGAAAAAAGTCCGAGGAAAAAATTTCAAAAAAATTGGAATATTTTTTTGTTGAGGTGCATTGATGCAATTATTTATTTAATATGCAGTGGAAATAGAGATTAATTTTCTTTGGTAACTCATAGTGATGAGTGATGATGATGATTTGATGAAGAATATTTTTGTTCTTTACATCGTCCTTCTAAAATGATGCTTTGTTGGAGATTTTTGCTCAAACTCACAAGAAGTACGGCTTTAACCATAAATTGTCTTCTTAATATATACGAATACCTGGCGTTTGGGTAAGATTAAAACTTTTAATGTATTCCAGGACCTATATTAGAATTTTATGACAAATAATTTTGTAGGATATTTTGACTTGCTACGATCCCGCTTAAAGGGAGTTTTCAAACATATTTTTCAAAAAGGACCAAAAAGGCCCTTTTGTTGACCAGTTTGTGAGTTAACATTTCCGTCCAAAATATTCCTCGTATTTATACCCTACACCACAAGGTGGTCAGGGTATTATATCTTTGTGCATTTGTTTGTAACCGGCAAAAGGAAACGAGATAGACCCATAGTTCCTTTTGGTGATCTGCATAGAATCACATTCTGAGTCGATTTATGCAAGTCCGTCTGTCCATGTATTTTTGTAAACATAGTACAGTTCGCATTTATTGCCCTATCCAGGTGAAATTTTGCACAGATCATTTGTTTGGCCCAAGGACGAACCCTAGTAAAATTGGAGATAATCGGTCAAAATTTAGATATAGCTCCCATATATATCTTCGTCCAATTTGCCTTTTATTGTGCACCAAACGTGTAATATCAGCCCGAATAGTATGGAATTTTGCACATACAACCAAATTAGGCCGGAAAATAAGTATGCCAAATTTGATCGAAATCGGTTCAGATATAGCTATAGCTCCCATATATATTATTCATCCGATTTGTCATTTTTGTCCTCCGCAGCCGTAATATGCACTCTGTAACAACAATATTTGGGGAAATATAGCAAATACAGCTCAGAAATACATTTACTAAATTTTATCGAGATCGGTTCAGATTTGGTTATAGCTCCCATATATAACTTCGTCCGATTTACCTTTTATTGTGCACCAAACGTCTAATATTTTTCCAAATGGGATGGAATTTGGCACTTACGACCGAATTGAGTCTAGAAGCTAGTATGTCAAATTTGGTGAAGATCGGTTCAGATATAGCTATAACACCCATATATATATTTTTCATCCGATTTGTTATATTTGTTACCCACAACCGTAATATATATTCCGTAACAACGATATTCAGGGAAATATATCAAATACAGCTCAGAAATATCTTTGCCAAATTTTATCGGGATCGGTTCAGATTTGGATATAGCTCCACTATATATATCTTTATCCGATTTCAAATTAATTGTGCACCAAATGGGCAATAAAAATCCGAATTTAAAAGATACAAATGCTTCGGCATATTTAGTCCTTTAAACTTTAAATTATAATTATAATTATAGTGTGTATGATTGAATTCTCCCATAAAAATTTTTAATTGTTATGTGGAGCTCTAATAAATTAGCAAAGTGGTGTAGGGTATCATAAAGTCGGCCCCGCCGAAATTTAAGACTTTCTTTACTGGTTTAATTTTGTCAATATCTGTTAATAACTTCATCCATTTGTAATCAAGTGAATGGAAAAATACAGAAAAAGTTCTGTGGTCTTTCAAATTTATTTTGTTCACTAGACATACATGTTTTTGTCGTCCAAAAATATTTCTAAATATATTATTTTTTGCGACATTGATACTGTGTCCGGTGCTATCCAGTATAATCCAATTATTTCCCAATTAGTTAATACCAGATTAAGCTTCAAATATCCGCTAGTGGGTTAAAAACACACATGCTGCCCATAATTAAAATATAATACATAATTAAAAATTTTATGTTTCTATTTATATCATATTTTCTATTTTGCACCTTCAGTTCCTATTATAAATAATTTGATATTTTTAAAACAATTTCCGAATAATTAATTATTTAAAAATATTTTTCAATTTGTATTTATTTAGACAATTTGCATGGCAGTTAATTTGTTTTTTTTTTTGCAGTTGGCTTTTATTTAATTTTCGTCATAGACTACCTGACGCCACCTCTACGCAACTCGGTAGATTTGCCTTTTGTGTTAAACGTTTCACAGCTGTCCCATAGATAAATATAAACGTTTGAATTGTTGTACAACTCTTAAGAATAATAAAAGCGAATTTACAATGTTTATTTTGTGATTAGTTGTTGGGTGATAGTGAAACGAACGAACGGCTAATGACGATAGCCGTCCAGCAAACCCAAATTTTAATGAATGAAATTCATTTTTAGGAAGGGAAAAATAAATATAAACAAGAAGCTTTATTCTCTTGATTAATTTTACAAGCGAAGATTGTTGTGACTCTTTAACTCTTTTCTCTTAGTTTTGATTAAAAAAAAAAACACAAATCCACGTTTAATTATTTATTTATTTAAATAATTTGATCTGTTAACAATCTAAGACCTGGGTTAGACAAATTTAGGCTAGGCCCACGTGCTCTCATCGAGCATAGTTCTCTCCACACATACAATCTGAGCCATTGGAAAACAATGTATTCAGAGAGTAATAAAATTGAGACACTCTGCTTCGCTCTCTCTAGCGTTGATGTCTCTTATTGTCCGTCATGAGTAAAACATCGAAAAATAGACATATACGAATATTTATCAACAATTGTTTCAATAAAATAATTTTTGAGTTAACTTTGATATTACTTTTGATAAAAAAAAGTATTAATTAAACTATTTAAAAGGTATCAGTCGGTTTTGACGACAGATGTATATCCTTAGCCAATGT